TTGTTGTTATCGTTATTATTATTATTATTGTTGTTGTTGTTGTCGTTATTATTATTATTATTATTATTATTATTATTGCAAGCAAAGTGTAAATGAAAAACATTTTATTATATGATTGTAGATATTTGACCTGTAAACATTGTTTTTCAAGTATAGTGAAAATAACTAATATTTTCCCTCTCTGTTGCCCTTGATGTCACAGCTCCAAAAGAAATCTCATTTTTCCTGCAGGTCTACAGTGATTAGTCACATGGAATTTACAGCTCATGTGATTGGCTCAAAACAACCTGGCTGCAGAACGAAGCACCTATGAGCAAAGATGGCAGATGTGTCCTGCGCCAGCCGAGCAACTGCCGTCAAGATGGATGGGAATGCCAACGGATCGCTTCCTCCAGGTTTTACGGACCTCTTTGGTTTGAACAAGCTTCCCGTGCACACACATCGTGTCCTTCTCCATTATCTGCTCTCCGCCAGCAATCCATAGATACTAATGAAATGTATCTCTAATTAATGTAACGCATTAGCCGGTATCCGAGCCTTGATGAAGTACCCGATAGAAGTTTGCTTAAGCAATAATGAGATTCAGAGAAATTCCAGATAGGATTTCTTTCTCGTTAGATGCTTTAGTCCCCATGGGGAGAGCAATAACATATCAGTACATAATCTACAATCGGAGACGCAATTTACATAATCGCACCTAAAAGGCTTACACACGCACGATGTCAGTGAGTTATTGGCAGAACGGATTTACAACATCTTCAAAAACAAATGAAAAGGCTCCTTTTCATAACGGAGCCTCTCTTCTCAATCAATATTAATGCTGAAGCAAAGCACCGGAAGGAAAGGCCGTAAATCCATAAGTGGGATCCATACGTGGGAGATTTACGCTCCTCCCATAATTGCAATATCAGTGTCTAATTATGAACTGTAATCATGCAGTTAAATGGCTGCTAGCTCGCACCACCTGAAAACATGGTACAACTTCTCCATTCTCAGTCTATCTACTGGAGATTTAATTAAAGCTTAAGTTACTATCGCTCATTTAAATTACCATGACAGAAGATTTCAATCAACCTCGGGTTGAGGAACCAAGAGCGTTTGACATTATAACGGTGGTGGATTCATGCAACAGGAAATTTTAAACCAGATCATGACAGTCTTTTGTGACATTTAATGGAAATATTAGCATTGCATTAATTTAAAGGAATAGTTTACCGAAAAAAGAAAATTTACTAAACAAATGTACTCACCCTCAGGCCATCCAATTAAGATGTTTTTGATTTTAAACCATTGCTACAGGCTAAAATGGAGTGCTCTACCCATAATATTGGTTTCTCTAGTGAAATATTAGTCTCATCTGAATTGAGAGGGAAATATATACACATCAAGCACCGTTTACAAGCCAAAACAGTCCAAAACTCTTTTAATCAAATATGTCTGTGGATTTTGATGTGGGAGGAAAAAGGAGATGGACTTTTTCACTGGAGGAAGCGTTATGGATTACTCACTATTTTAATCAGAAGCGACATTTTAAAGTTAAAAATCCTTAATGATAGATTTTTTTTTTCTACAAACATGCAGATTTTCGTTTCATAGGATGTTAATTGATGGACTGGACTGGTGTGGATTACTTGTGAATTATTGTGATGTTTTTATTAACTTTTTGGACTCTCATTCTGACGGCACCCATTCACTGCAGAGGATCCATTTGTGAGCAAGTGAGGCAATGCTGCATTTCTCCAAATCAAATTGTAATTTTTGGGTAAACTATTCCTTTAATTGATCTCAGAGGCTACAACTACAGCAGAAGATGTGCTTTTTTGTTTAACTAGCATATGTAAAAGTACATTTGGTTTTGAAATTAAATTTTTTTTTTCAGTCTCAAAGAAGAGACCAGTGAGGTTTAATCTGAACTTGTTCATATGAACTTTTAACAGGTGACACTTTGTTTGTTTTTTGTTTTTCAAAAAACACCCATTATAACAGTGACCAATACATTTCTATAATACAGAAATGCACATTTTAAGTATTAAAAACAGTGCAATTCATAGATTTAATGATTCATGCCAAGGATAATCAAGTGCACAATCAAGAGGATCACTGAGTTTGATTGACATTAAATAAAATGACATTTCCCACTGAAATCAGTGACATTGACAAAAATCGGATATAGATATGATTTATTTCTGTATATGACCGCAGTCCAGATTTGACTATCAAATTCATTGTCATTTTTGCCTTTCACGGATTAAAAAAAAATCAGATTTGTGTCACATCTATCTACCGTGTGAACGTGAGAGCCCATGCAAACTGAACCAGCTTAATCTAATAACTGGAAATGACGAATGAAAATGAGGCAATACTCAGTAATTTACATGAAGTAGCGCATTGATAGATAGATTATAGGTGACAATAACTTTAATGGTGTTTTTATTGTTTCTCTTTAATTCCCTCCTCATTTTTTTCAATCCAAGTCTTGCATATCATGCAATTTCATAATCTCATACATATATTATTTGATGTTGTCATAAGAGTGTACTGGTGTTTTGCTTTAAGAAATGTAAAGTTTCTTCCACATATATTGTGCAGACAGAAAAGGTGGACTCTAAAGCAAGCAGTTTAATATTCTTGAAGCCATTCAGTCTATGAGAATTAAAAATAACTTAATCTCACATTTATGTTTCTCAGGGCGAAGAACGAAAAACTGTTAATTGAAAGCTAAACATTACCATCACTTTTCATTTGGCTGTAAACAAACGCCTGGCATATCTTCATTTCGATATTAATTCTCCAATTCACAAACAGGCCTGAATTTTTGAGCTATAATTTTGTGGACTAACATATTTTCTGTGGGTTGAAAACAGCTATATATGAAAAGAGGGATCGTAAATGGAATTAATTCTGTATGCACTAAACAATCATGCACATATGCAAATGGAACAAATGGCAGAGCGGCCGGGAAATTTCTGATTGAAAGATGGAGCTTGTTGTGAAAATAATCATATTCAGCCATTGGATTGAGATCTGTGGATTTAGCCACTTGAAATCTGATCAAATCATGAGGCAACTGCCTTTCGCCACTATTTTTTTACACATCGCACATGTGCACTTGTGCTCAGTTCCATTGAAATGGTTTCAAAGAGAAGACTCAAGTGTTTACAATGGATCAAATCAATCAAGAAACTCAATTGTGAGGCTGAGGTTACTTTCTAAATGCTTCTGTGATCTCTCCATGATATCGCACTTAAAAACATGGGATTCTGTATTTTTGCCCAACAAGATACATATATTAATCAACTTGACATTAATGTGTTTAGCATATATGCAGTATATGATCCCATTTACATTTGTAACTGATTCATTGGTCACGTTTTGATGGTGCACAGAAGAACAATGGTGATCACCACGATTTTACTGTACAATTGCCCAAATTATGCTGTTTTTCACCAAAACTGAGCACTTGATAAAAGATTGATGTGACTTTTGTGATTTCACTCTTGGGTTTTTATTTAGCATTAAAGTGAGTCATGATGTACTTTAACCTTCATGTTGTGTTCTGGTCATTTTGACCCAGAAAGTACTTTCTTTTTCCTGAAAATGCTAGTTAATGATATCGCATTGGACTAAAATCTCCCGACTTTGCTCAGAGATGGTATAACAATTTACCAAAGAAAAAAAATAAAAAATTTTTAAAGGGGTCATATGATGCGATTTAAATTTTTCCTTTCTCTTTGGAGTGATACAAGCTCTTGGTGCATAAAGAAGATCTGTAAAGTTGCAAAGACTAAAGTCTCAAATCCAAAGAGATATTCTTTATAAAAGTTAAGAGTCAGCCACGGCTCAGGCCTGACAGGGCATCATCACAATATGGTAAGGGACGTAACATTTCCGTCACACGCTTGAGGTATTCGGCCAATCAAAACGCACTGGATAGCTGGCCAATCACAGCACACCTCGCTTTTCAGACCGATGAGCTTTGTAAAAATTGACGCGTTTCAGAAAGGCGGGGCATAGAGGAGAAACAATAATGTACAGTATGTGGAAAATAATGTGGTTTTTTTAACCTTAAACCGCATAAACACATTTCATTACACCAAATACACAAAATAATGTTCTTTATGTTCTTAGCAACATCATATGACCCCTTTAATGATTTTCCCCACCTTTTTACACTTGTGGTGTTCCTAGTCAAAAATGACTGGCCTACAAAAATTGCTTGTAATTCTCATAAATAAATAAATATAATTTTTTTTTTTTTTTTACAAATATTGGATTAAATCTTTTAGCAACTTGTTTTCTTTCAATCAACAAAGGTTTTGTATTTGTTTTGGAACTGGTTGATCTTCGGCCTCATTGATCTGAGCTTATGCACCTTTTGAGAGAACATTTCCAAAATTATCCACAAATAATTTTTTTCCCACTCAAAACCTCTGCTAATTGAAAGAAAACAAGTTGACAGAGATTGAATCCAGGATTTGGTGATAATATAGCATAATGAGAGATTTACAAGCGATTTTTGAATATGAACAAATTAGGTGAACCATTTTAGCACAGCACAAGGGTTAAATTCACCCAAAAAGAAATTCATTATACTATCTTTTTGTGTTTAAAGAAAGAAAATCATATAGGTTTGGAACAACATGAAGGTAACTATTTCCTCAAATTTGGCACAAAGTTAACATGTGGCTTCAAAAGGTGTTTGGACAAATTTTATGGTACTTTTTAAAACTTTTATGCTGTCTTGTATGGAAAAGAGCTTCATAAAAGAAAGTAAAGGATGACAGACTTTTCATTTTACGCAAATTAATTGATTTAACTAAAATCAAAGCTTCAAATAAATGGTCAAGGTAAATCTACACACTTTCAAACATGCTTAGATCTCTACATGATATAGCAATAAAACTCACCTGACACCTACTGTTTTAAAAGGATGCTAATTGATAGTCCAAAACTGCACCGTTGTGCATGTTCCTTTGCATCTTAATTCACCAAACACTCACTTGTGAGTCTCAGAATCCATTCTGCAGGTTTCATCTTGACCTCTTTTTAGCATGCCGAGAGCTCTGCCCGGGGAACAGCCGCCCAAATGATTGGTTCAACTTTACTGGAGTTTTTAAACACGCAGGCTTTGGATGACTGGTCTCGCCAGCACCTATTTTGCATCGCTAATCACCTGCTAAACATTTTTGCTGTGTGTAGGGCATCAGGCAATTAAATGGAGGCAGGTGTTAATTGGTCTCTGAAAACAGGGAGGTTGGAGACTGTGGCTGCCAAACCCTCATGGGTCTGCGAGGCCGGGCTTTGATCTGACAGTTGATTTGCAACATCAAAGCTAGTTATTAACACGCTCATTAGCATACAGACCTCTTAACCTATTGTTAACAAAAATAGTACGGCGAGCAGGGTCACGCAATATTCATAACTGAAGAATTGGTTTCTCCTCTAATGCAGGAGTTGGAAGTCTCAATATGCATTTTTCTTTACAATGAAGCATGCAAAAAGCAGTATGTTAAATGAGTAGGATGTCTGAGTGCACAGTATTCATGAAACAGTAGCCTATAGGTGAACAGTACCTAATTTAATGACATTGTTCCATGAAAAACCTTTAATATACTTAAAAATAAACATTACAAATGTTACAGGATCATTTTTGCAGTGATGTCGTATCTCTAAAAAAAAGATGGTTCTTTAAAGGTTCTTTACATGCAGTAATGGTTTTATTTAGAACCATAGCATTCTGAAGAACCCTTTTATGCTGAAGTGGTTCTTTGTGTTAGAGTTTAGGGGTCTTTATATATATATATAGGGGCCTTTTGTTTTTCAAATCTGAAACTGACAAAGCACCTCATTACTGATTTTCTGGAGTTCAGTGATTCAACTACACAGACTGCCAACACACTCTCAACAGGTAAATTATTTAATTCTTAAAATTTAAATACAAATTTAACTTTATGTAAATTTGTAACTGGCTTCCAAACAAACATGTTCTTATCTCTTTTTTTAGTGTTTGGTCACATTTAAGTGTGTGCAGCTCTGCTAAGCTGTGGAAACTTATCTCCTCTTCTCCACTGAGTAAGTAAAAGAGACAATGATTTTTTAAAATTCATGTTGTTAGATTTTTTAAAAATTATTACTTGGGTTTATGTATAAACATACCCAGTCACAAAAAATATTAAAACTATCCCATGACTTTATATCACTTTTTTCTTTTAAGATTGTGAAGGGCTCACATACTG